CCAATTCCGTTACCATTGGCTGGGCATTCCATTCTACCATTGGCTGGGCATTTACAGAGACACCAATTCTGTTACCATTGGTTGTGCATTCCATTCTACCATTGGATGGGCATTTACAGAGACACCAATTCTGTTACCATTGGTTGTGCATTCCATTCTACCATTGGATGGGCATTTACAGAGACACCAATTCTGTTACCATTGGTTGTGCATTCCATTCTACCATTGGATGGGCATTTACAGAGACACCAATTCTGTTACCATTGGTTGTGCATTCCATTCTACCATTGGATGGGCATTTACAGAGATACCAATTCCGGTACCATTGGCTGGGCATTCCATTCTACCATTGGCTGGGCATTCACAGAGACACCAATTCCATTAGAATTGGCTGGACATTCTTCCTTCTCTGGAACCTTTGGCCAGTCTTTTGCCTGGCAGGAGCTAAGGACTGCTAGTCAGAGGCACATAGGAAGGCAAGGGAAGTTTTTTATCTGAGGCCTGCTTTTCCAGACGCCTCGGTAGCAGAGGAGGGCAGGAAGGGGCGGTAGGCGACAAACCACGGCTCTGCATTTGCATGCAACACCGAACTACAGGCAAGAGAAACTGTGGTTAATAAGCTGATTTCAGATGTCTGTTTGAGATCCTGATCTGTTGTGCTCCAACCACAGCCGGAGGAGGGCCCCACATTTGAATGACCAGCTAAGTCATTAGTTTAATTAAACTGCGGTTTGTATGCCCGAACGGAGCCTGTGATTATTAATGTGCAAGCACTCTCTGAGTGGCTATGACTATTTGCAGTGCTCAGCAATTGAATAGGGAGTACTTACGTGTTAGTGGTACAGTAACCTATTTGTATTAAAGAGTAACATCCCCCCCCCAATTTGATATCTGATCTGAATGCACAGCAATGCAGATGCACTTGCAGAGATGTTTACACCACAGTACACTAAAGAAACAAGCCGAACAACAACACTCAGGCGCTTTAGCAAGTCACACGCCCACATATCTCTGGTCAAACAACAGCAACCGCTAATAGCCAAGCAAGTTACAGAACAACATGTAAAGGCAGTATTCCCACAGAGATAGGAGAACTGTCGGTTACAGATTCCAAGAAGCCCTCGTATGAGCCGCTGTGAAAGGAGGGGTGGAAATGTTGTGCATGGACTCCTCCCCAGTGACTGGTTGGAAAATATTCTGGTCGCTTACATTGTCAGTTGACTACAAACAACAGCCAGAGATGATCTGTATGGTCAGGGACCTACTTACCTAAGGGACCACCTTTCCCCATATGTCCCAGAACCGTCTGTCCCTCCCAGGCCCTAAAGAAACCAGGCTAGTTGCGACGAGGGCCAGGGCCTTTTCTGTGGCGGCCCCATACTGGTGGAACGAGCTCCCGGATGGCATCAGGGCCCTGAGGGACCTTTAACAGTTCCGCAGGGCCTGTAAGACGGAGCTCTTCCACCAGGCCTTCAATTAGGGTGCCGCCTTTTAGTAGCGTGGCCCCGGCCCTCCAACATCAGCCCTAACTTAACAACTAACAGCCTGGCAAGAACCTGGATTATGGTGGTAGTTGACTATCTGGATGTTGAGAGAACGCCGCCATCTTTTATTAATATCAATGTTCCTTAAGACCTCAATTTTATATGCTGTGGTTTCAATCTAACGTTTGTGTTTTAACATATTTTGTTGTTTCAATAGCTATATATCCTGTAAGCCGTCCTGAGCGTGCCACGACGGGGAGGGTGGGATACAAATTAAATAAATAAATAAATAAATAGAGAACCAGGACGTCACCTAGAGAGCCAGGGCTTAGCAGATCCCAGACGCCAGGCTGCCGTGGCAACTAGAAGTTTCGTGGTGGCGCCCGGTACTCTCAGCAGGGATTTTACACTAGTCTCTCTCCAATAGTTCTCACTGGAAGTACGAAGGGTCAGAGGCAACCAGTTTTTTCACTGGTGAGAAAGGGAGGAAGGGTCCCCTTTGAGCCCCCAAAGGGCTGTGTCCGGGATCCTGGGACCTGGACCCCACCGAAAGCTCATTTATCCTTTCGAATCAGAATGTTTGTTGCATGACATACAAATAAATGCGCATGGATTTCTTGCCGTTGCTTGTTTGTACGCAGCTTCGACTTTATAACATTTGGTGGGGGTAAAAGGTTTCCCTTGCTCGAAAGCCACTCGAATGCGACTCTAGGGGGCGGTGCTCATCTCCGTTTCCAAGCCGAAGAGCCAGCGCTGCCCGACAACATTTTCCGTGGTCGTGTGGCCCGCATGACTAAATGCTGAGGCGCACGGAACGCTGTTACCTTCCCACCGAAGTGGTACCTATTTATCTACTTGCAATTTCTTGCTTTCGAACTGCTAGGTTGGCAGGAGCTGGGGCCAGAGACGGGAGCTCACTCTGTCATGCGGTACTCGGGTTTCGAACTGGCAAACTACAGACATTCTGGTCTGAAGCTCAGTGTCTTAACCTCTGAGCCACCGTAGCACCTAGCTTAGTGGTGGCAGATGAATTCACTTCTTAAGCACTTTTTAATATATATATGTGTGTGTGTGTATTCATACACAATTAACTCATTATAATATACAATTAGTTATATATATCCAATATCCAATATCATATACATACACACACACACACATATATACATACACATACACAAAAGTATTGCAGTATATAAATACAGGTGTAATCAATGCTCTCTCTAAGCTGTGGAGTTTAGTGAGCAAAAATTCTACTTTGTGAGCTACTGTTATTAAAGTTGTAAGCAACCAATTTGGCTACTGCATAAATTAGTTTACTCTGGAGTCATCCCTTCCTGAGCTAAAACAAAAATGTATGAGCTGGAGGCCAAAAAACTCTGACCTGGCTCACACTAACTCAGCTTAGAGGGAACACTGGGTGTAACCCCAGTTTTTGTCATTCAAAAGCTTCGTTTAATTAGATATATGTCCAATTAAATGGAGTGTTTGAAAGCAAAAATGGAATTACAAGAAACTGGGGAGAAGTTAGGCCAGGATTAGATATTAGTTTTTTTTAATTTTGGATGACGCCAACTGGGGTTACACCCATTTTTATTTGTGTACTACAATACTTTTGTTGTCGCTTTAATAAAATTTTGAGTGCTCAGGATTAGAATGGTAGCAATAATTAGAAAACAGGGTCATAAAAACATAAAACTGTGAAGACTAAAATATGAGTCTGGCTCCTATGTTTTCGGGCTGGATCAAAGCTTGACTTAGAAGATCAACAACTTTTCCCGGAAGGAACTTAAAAACAGATGCATTAATGACAACAGTATATTTAATGCCATTTAACGTCATAATGTAGCTTCCAATGCAAATGGATGAATTACGATGCTATATTAACGAATGGGGCATTTTTTGTTCATGTGAGGAAGGTCTGAATGGCTGATATTTACCGGCATTTCATGGCACATCTGTCTGCTGATGTGAATCAACACCTTGGGGATGGGGTGAGCATATCTTCAGGTGGGGCGGCTGCAAGGTCCCAGGGCTTCTGACAGGCCCAGTTCTGTTGACCCCCAGACCCCCCCCCAGTTGCTCATTCGCTAACATGGAAATTGCTGAGCGGTCGGGTTAGAATGGATAAAAGGGAGTCCTTTTTCACCCAAAGGGTGATGAACACATTGAATTCACTGCCACAGGAGGTGGTGGTGGCTACAAGCATGGACGGCTTCAAAAGGGAATTAGATAAGCATATGGAGCAGAGGTCCATCAGTGGCTATTAGCCGCAAGGTATAGATAGGAACTCTCCGTCTGGGGATGCTCTGTCATCTTGGTGCTTGGGGGGTCAACAGTGGGAGGGCTTCTAATGTCCTGGCCCCACTGCTGGACCTCCTGATGGCACCTGGTATGTTTGGCCACTGTGTGGCACAGAGTGTTGGACTGGATGGGCCATTGGCCTGATCCGACATTGGCTTCTCTTTTATGTTCTTATGTATCCAACGATGTCCCAGTGATCCTCATTTGGGACAATAAATAAATAAGTGACCCTAAAAATCGACAAGAATCAGACATAACATATACACCCACTTTTGACCTAATTACTGTTGCTTAATGGTATTTAAGAACTTCTCACGAAATATTTCAATGACTCCTTCATTCAGGCTAACAGCAAAAAGACTACAATATATGGGACTCAGCGTCGCTCTTATTTTATGAGGTTGAGACACAGAGACCTCTTCAGAATTGAGCTCGCAACTGAATGTAGACGAGGCCTCAAGGGGAAAAAAAAACTTGTCCTCGGGAACCTTTTGAGGGTGGGCAGCAATGACACGTGACATCGCATTCCGTTTGTACACGGAAGTGATGTCATGATGCTCTAGGAATCTGCTCACCTCTATGGTTTCTCCCACAGAGGTATGCTAATTCCCAGAGTGTCGTGATGCCACTTCCGGGTACAAACCATATGTGATGTGACGGCATGGGGCATCGTAGCCCCCACCCCTTGCTTCTGCTGGAAGAAAGAGGCCCAGTGGGGCTTGGGGCGGGGGGCTGCCCGTGCCTCTGGAAGAACTGGCCACCCTCGCTTACTGCGGTCCCTCCAAGCTATTCTGCACCAAAATCGAGTTCAACCTTCTTTTTAATCCAGGTTTCCCCTCCCATTCTGCACCAAAATCAAGTTCAACCTTTTTATTCCGGACCCCCCCCCCCTTCTGCATTACATCACCTCCCTTCAGAGGTCAGCTTGGTTTCAGCCTGCTGTTGCCCCCGGGGGTATTTGGCTGCTGTTTTGCCATGGATTTAAATTGCCTCGACTTGAACACTGAGAAAATCCGGAGTGGCAGGCCGATGCGGAATGGACCATTTTCTCCTTCTACATTACCCTCAAAGGCCCACTGGCCTTCATATTCATGGAAGTGAGTTTCCAAAACAAAACCCGATGTGCTCCCACTGTGGCTACACAGCATTCTGACAACCCCCCGCCCCCATCCCCGGTCCCGCCTTCCCGTCCCAAGAGTTACAAATCCGAACCTCGACAGCCCGCGAGATGTCCTACCTTGAGTGGTGCCGTCTAGTCCCATGACCGATTTCATCGCTCTTATGATCTGCTCTGCTACGGGTGGACATATCGCCGTGGCATATGTGGCGCTATGGGAGTGCGTCCGTATGTAGTCCACTAGTTCCTTGAAACCAGAGAACAAAAATTTCAGTGCAGGAGCATTCCTCACCGCCCCCCATCTCCCTTTTCTATCAAAGTGGAACCCTTGCAAGGAAGAACTGATCGGATGCATGGAAGCAGAACATCAGTGCAGACCCACAGTGGGGCGAAACGCAGAACGGCCACAATGAGGCTATTGGTCTCACTTCATAAATTCAGACAGTCAATTAATTAGCTGCTGTAGATCTTCCAAGTTGTGTGGCCGTGGTCTTGGCATCGTAGGACCTGACGTTCCGTCAGTAGCTGTGACTGGCACCCTCAGAGGTATAACACAGAAAGATGGAGTACTCTCTGTGTCAAGGTGAGAAGAAAAAGAAAAATGGTAGGCAGGTAATTTATATCTACTCAGGAAGGTGGGGTAGGGCTGAGTCATTATCTTGTAAGTGTTCCCCAGGCTGTGAAAACATGCTAATAGAGGAGCTTTCCTGAAAAGGTTCTTTTTTATATGGATTGCCTGTTTCCTGAGGAGGTTCTTTTGCATATGGATTGTTTCCTGAGGAGGTTTCCTGTTTCCTGAGGAGGTTCTTTTGCATGTCCACAGCCAGTCCACATGCAAAAGAACCTCCTCAGGAAAGCTCCTCCATTAGCATGTTTTCACAGCCTGGGGAACTCTTACAAGATAATGACTCAGCCCTACCCCCACCTTCCTGAGTAGATATAAATTACCTGCCTACCGTTTTTCTTCTCACCTTGACACAGAGAGTACTCCCTCTTTCTGTGTTACACCTCTGAGGATGCCAGTCACAGCTACTGGTGAAACGTCAGGTCCTACAATGCCAAGACCGCGGGCCATACAACCCAGAAAATCTAAAGCAGCTAATGAACTCCGGCTGTGAAAGCCTTCGGCAACATAATTAATTGTCCTGTTGTGCAAGTGAGATTCTGTTTGGGGGGAGGAACCCCTCAGGCAAGTACTACAATGGCCAAAGGGCCAGTTTGGAATTAGTCAGTGAATAGTGTAAGAATTATATTGGCAGTCACTCCGCCAGGAGAGGCAGGGAGAAGAAGGCAGACGGGATACGATCTCTGCGATAAATCATTAGGATACGCTTCTCCAATCAATCAATCAATCACACAGAAGACATGTGTGCTTATTATGTTTAGCTCAAGGTTTTATGTCTTCCACCTCTTAAGCCAAAAAAAAAAAAAAACACACCAACCCAACAGCTTTTCCTCTTGTTTTACGGGCCCGTTTGTGCTGCCAAACCTTTAAAGCGTGTGGAGTCGTCATCAAAACCGGTCTGAGGAATTTATTAGTACATCCTTTTGATTTGGCTTTACTAATTTAGGCATGGCACGGTTACGGAGGCCTCATTAAACGAACAGCTCCTCAGCTTTCCCAAACCAGGCCGTTGTGGCAGTCAAAACATTGCCCCCCCCTCCCGCCATTCCACACCCCAGCAGTCCTTCTTCCAAGACGAAGAGCTTACAAAGCGGTACCCCTTCTCTGAGAGCAGTGAGAGGAGTGCACCCTTCGAGCTGTTTTGCACAAAGGGAAATCTGGATGCAATTTGCCGTCCCCCTCTTACGTTTTCATGCCGACAAAATATTGTGCTCACAGACAAGAAGAGTTTAAATTAGAAGCAAAAGTATAAATGGCAGATCCATGAGAGAATATTCGGCTGCCAGGTATACTGGGCATCCAGTATAACTAGAAATGTAAAATTTCCGGAAATTTTGAAGCTCGGGAAAAAACCCTTTTTTTCCCGGAAAAAAATGGAAATTTTCGGAAAAATTGAAAAAAAATGCTACCTTAGCACTTTTTTTTTCTTTTCCAGATCGAAAGTCATTCTGTTACTTTAGGAACATAAAATATGATTATGGACATTTTTACTTGGCATGAAATGATCACAACTAGCATATTAAAAATATACTGTATCCAAACAATTATCACAAACAGAATACCCACCCACATGCAAAAACAAAACTGAAACCTTTTTCTTTTCTTGTGACAATAGCACCTCCTAAAGGAAGAAATGCATCTTGTTCCTGCATTGGAGAGTTCGGTTTGTAACCTAGGACTTGCTTGTCCTCAGTGCACAGAAATTAGATCAATCTGATTCCATACATATTTTTTAGAAATGATTTCGAAAATATTTGAACACCTTGTCCTAAAATATTGTATTCATCATGTGAAAATAAAACGTTGCATAATCAAATATTTTTCCTTTCCTTTTTTCAATTTTTCGGAAAGAACCAAAAAGGGCTTCAGGAAAAAAAACGTCCCCCCCCCGAATTTTTCCATTC